ATATATATATATACAGTATAGATATACACCTACAAACAACACGTACCGTCAATGGTCCCAGCACAGTCTTTTATGGTTTACGCATTGCCATTGCCTCTTCGTGCCTCATCGCGATGAGGGGGTCGTAAACCGTGCCTCTTCGCTCAGGTCGATGATCCGGATGGCGACTGGCACCAGCGCAGGTGCCACGGCGAAGACAGGAGTTCAGACGGGCATGGACAGTGAGGGATGCAAGTGTTGTCCGACAGGGACCGGGCGGTGATTGGGCAAGTAACTTGGGTTCACCAATCAGACTCAAAGAAGCAACTATGTGTGGTGGAAAAAGGACGTGTAGCCTTTCAAAGGTCCATTTGCCACCAAGTCCCTTGTTGGGGGGTGAGGAGCTGGAGGATACGGAGGGTATGTATATGATATGTTCATAATTGTATTATAGAAACATGGTGTTTTAAGGCATTGCCGTCTGACAAAAGGATGGAACCCCCTTGTCTTGTACAGGACTTCATGGTCATCCAACGGCGCCCATGCCATCCACGTAAACCATGATTGTTGTTTTAAGTGGGAGTATCACGCCTCCGAACATGATGTTTAAGTCTTGGTCAGAACACCGTCGGACGATCCTAGAACGAAGTCATGCAGGAGTCGTTCCGAGAGTCCAATACATAGCATGATTGGGGTGAATAGATTCATAATGATTCATAGATTTGCTGGCCAAGCTTGGCCAAACCCAGCAGTAGACAAAGGCGCTGGCATATGTTTCCTGTCTTGTTTAAAAAATGTTGTAAGAGGTTTTGATGCAAAGCAAGGAGCTGCGCAAGAGGGCCCTGCTGGCACGTGTGTCAGGCGCCACTCGTAGTGCCGGTGCACTCCTTTCTTTGACACTTGCAGCGGCCTTGTACCTTCTGAAGTTCTGAGTCGTGTGATCTATAGCCGCTATAGCCCACGTCTTCTTAAAAGAGAAGACGTAGAAGGAAGTGCTATGTTCTGGTCTCCGCCTTTTGAGGAGTGCGTGAGATAGATGGACTTCTGTCAGTTGGGGAGTCATGAACCTCATGACGAAAAATTGCATCGGAGTCCGATGCACGTCAGGGTCCGATGTTCAGTGTGGCACACTCTTTAGCTGATGCGAAGTCCTTCCGCAAAGTCACTGCCTTCACGAATTCGACTTTCTGGGGTGGTCGGTTCGAAGTAGCCAGCACCCCAGCTCGGGAGTGCTATTAGCATATGGCCAGCTATTGGCCACCTCAGCTACGCCCAAAACAGCGCGCAGTCTGGATCTGGACTTGTTTCGTGCCTAAATCACAACTAGCTCACCAGTGGGGAACAGCTGGCAACCGGCAACCCATGTTTATGGTTTTCTTTGGCCCACTCTTGGAGATGGGTATGCACCAGGTTGAAACATCTCAATACATCTCAATCGAACTGTGTTTCTTTGACTTTCAAGCTATTCGAGGGCATGGGCAAGATGGGTTCTTCCGCAACCATACCCAGACCGTCCATGGAACTGGCAGATGTGCCGATCACTTGACCCTCCAAACCACCCCAATGTAGGCATTAAAAACTGCCAGTCCCATGGATGGTCTGGGAGATATACCAAACCGTTCTTTTCGAGGACCGCTCCGCGCCCCAGACAGGAAGTAGAGGGTTGATGTTGAATGTTCAAGAGGATCATATTAAAGTCATCAAAGGAGCTGTAGCCATTGGATCAAGGCAAAAACCTGGTCAAAACCTGTTGGTGAGCCAGAATGAAGCCTTTCGTGGCATGCTTCGTGCTGGTGCTTCCTGCAGCCGCTTGGGAATTTGCCATGTGAGTGGTAGAGAGAATCGTTGGCGACTGAGAGACCTTGCTTCTCAACGAGGCGGTTGACCTAAACCATATATATATATATTTACCCCTTGGATCACAAAGCAACATGTCAATGTTGTATCAATTTGCTTCCAAAAGATAGGTTCAAGGTGACATGTTCCTTATATTTACTGATAGGTTTTTGGCCACTTGGTCGACATGGGTCCATTTTTGCACCCGATCGATGGACTCTCCTCACGATCGGTCGCCCGGTTTGCCTTCATCGCGCAGTTGTTAAGAACCGTTTGGTTGATTTTCCGGAAAGCCTTGGTCCCCTGGTTTTGATTCACAGCCATGTGATTTGGATTGGAAGTCATTTTTTTGGGGGGGGTGGGCAGACCTGAGCAGTGACCGAAGTGTTCAATGAATGTTTGTTCTCTTCAAAGGGGATGGATCCTTTGGCATACAGACTGCATCACTTGAAAATGGGGGACGGTGGAACTGGAGTCATTCATTCTGACACATTTGACATCGCGTGTTCGATCGGAGGCTTTTCATGGGTCAGAATGGATTGCGGTGCTTTCAAAGCTTCGACGTTGGCGCTCTCCGGATGAACAGATATATTATTGTGATGATATATCGTCCGGGTGTCTACGATCCACGAGAAACACTACAAATTCTCAGATATGGGGTTAGGTTGCGACAAAACCTGGAGCCCCCCAACATCCACCATCTTTCGGCTTCGCGACTGGTGCAGTAGGTCAACCCAGGTTGGTCTGGTGCCATGACCCACAGCCATTTATCATCCGCATGTTAGACCATGTTTGTTGGACTCACCTAGGCTGCATATCCATCGAGCATGAACTACTGCGACCACAACTGCATGGCTGCGAAGACGCCTGGGGGCTCATTTGGTTCCATGGGTATTGCCACCTTCAGCCGCCAGCTCAGAGATCACCGGATATCACAATTACAGCAATTCGATGATCATGGCCGGTGTTTAAGGTCTTTAGTTGATTTGATCAGGTCAGCTTGTCATGGCTAATTCCATGCAGAAGACAGCGGAAAAGCTGGTGTTTTCCGCACCAGTTAAAGAGATGCGGAACGGACGGAGGACCGGGTTTTTACCCCGACTGCGTACCTGCGTACTGGGTTCTGTGCCCTGCGACCAGGTGACCCCATCACGGATGCTGGGTGCAAGATTACCACCGACGTCCCATCCGAAACTCGGAACGTGGCGGCTTTGGAGCGTTGTCGCACGTGGGACATGGAGCGCGCGGCCAACGGACATGTGCCAACGATGGTTCGGTGAACTCACTTCGGTGTTTGATGGTGTGGTTTTTCCCCGGATGCAACGGGCAAGTCCAGCCACGTTTGGGGGCCGTTTCAAGCCGTTTCGACGTTTCAACATGGTTGAAACCATGTTTTCTGAAGGTGAAGTAAGAGACCGACGTTCGCGACCTCGAACGTTCGCGTGATGTCGCCCGTTGTGCTCCGTTGTGCTCATGAACGCTTCGGTGGATCTCAGGCGGGATTTACCTCCGGAACTGCCTACACAGCCACTCGGAGCTTGATCTCAACTGAGTTCAATGCAACGTTTCTGTCTCGCAGCTGGTTTCTTTATGTACTTCTGGATCTCACTATATCTCACTATATTGTCCAACTATACTTATAGCAGTTGGGTCTGTCCGTTCTTACCTGTAACAGTCAGTAAACAATGATTGTCATTTTCGAACAAGGCCTGCAACTAGGCCGCATCATCCAAGATAGACCAGGTATTAGGATAGACCCAACCCTATACTTATAGATCTTAGCACAGAAACAAATAGATGCCAACCGTGTTTTTTTTCTTTTCTGCTTCGCTCCTCCCGGTCTCGTCCCACCTGCGACCTGCTCGCGAGGTCACGGTGACATCTGCGAATGCGCCTCTCGGTGAGCACAGTGTTCGGCACTGGGAACCGGAAAAAGGAACACACAATTGCCAACATGAATCAGCGAATAGCAAACTGCGGATATATATGAGTGCCATAATAAAATGGAGGTCTTGGCATGAAAGCAGGGTTTCATTGATCTACGAAGCAAATGACTATAGTGTTGTTGCGTGAGCTAGTCCTGCGTCCAATAGATAATAAAAGCTATAGTTGGATCAGATCCCATCAGGTTGGCGCAGAGAGTCTCTTGCAGTACCGGGTCCTTTGGCAACGCCGCCTACGCAAACATTGGGTACAAGGCGGGGAGTCTTCCACCAGGGCAAAGCAGCAGGTGTGAGGAGCTGTTTGATTTACATCAGACGTCGACAGTTCCCACGGATGATTCTTGGTCTATCCGTGGGACTGACAGGTGTCGACACGTGTTTTCGTTGTCCCTAATTGGGCGTTTCTATCGAGCGTGAGTTATGTCCTGGGATGTCCTGGGATAGTTCCTGGCAGGTTTCAGAATGCTTAGTTGGATCATTTTGTTTGGGTCTTTTGACTCGGATTTCGTTGGATTTCGCTGTTCCTTCTCCGCGATGCATTGGAGAAACCCTAGGGTTCACAACCACCGGTCGATGGACCTGGGCCGGACACCTTGGGCTGGAAGGTGTCGAACTTCCGAAGAAAGCAGGGCACCAGATGGGGCCAGACTGTTGTGATCACTGCTGGTGGAATACGAACATCGACTTGAACCAAACAGCAGAATGCGTCCTTGCAATCAAGATCTGCCTCGAATGAAGTATTGGTTTCCAATATACGGTGGAAATATTGGTTTGACTGGTTGACTCTTTGTGGTGAACTCTCCAATTCAGCTCGTTTTCACTTCCTGCGAACATGACGACATCATGGCGCCTGGGTGTGTATTTTTGAAGAGGGAGGACACCCGGCCCGGCCGGGGTTTGAGTCATATATGTTCCTTCTTCCAAAGGGGTCGTTGCCTGGGAGGTCTCCCTATTTTGATACACACCCACTTGGGTGAACACAACCTGTTGCCCCAACCGTTCCCGGTCCCTACCTTTGGTGCGGCAGAAGTCTAGACGACGAACGTACGACGAACTGGTCGCGGCGCATTCGAAGGATCTCAGAATGTTCGGTGGAATCAGATCCCAGACACTCCATGGGACTGGAATATATGCTGCCCCATAGACCACCCCTACCACCCTCCAACAGGTCTCCTCTGGAGACTGTTGCTGGGTGGTGACCTGTAGAGTCGGGCGCTGGTACAGAATATCTCCCCCTGGCACCACCCCAACTGATCGGCAGTCCTATGGCAGTCCCAATGTGCTCGGTCCTCTGGCAGATCTCGAGCCGGATCCTGGTCCAATCCATGTAACCCACACCTCTCGGTTTCGGGTTTTGGGTGTGGGGTGCTGCTTGTTGCATGCCAGTGCATCAGCAAATCATGGGGATTCCGGGCCCACCCTTGGGTTTTGAATGGTTTGAATCCCAAAGCACTCTTCCTTATATACTAAGGATAGTTATACTCAGGATTTGCGACTAGTACTACAAAGCCAGGTCCACCGAACTCTGTAGTTAGGTCGATCCGGGTACAAATCCAACGACCAACCCAGCCATGTGGATGCGACGGGTGATAAGACCTCCAAGCGAAGAGGTGATAAGACTCAATGGGTCTGTCCCCATACCTGGTACACTCCCGAAAACTAACATAGACCCTGACAATGGCTCCCTGGAAGAGTGTTTTCCTCTACCAACCAGTGGTTTTCAGGGTCCATGTTAGTCTTCCAGGATGTAATCTAGGGCCTCCAAACACTCAAAGCGAATCCCCTACGTGATCATGCCGGTCTGAAGACTGTTCGGTCCCTGTAAAGCAATCTAGAGCCCTCGGTATTCACGACCTTTAGAGATAGAAAGGCCACGCTAAGCATCATCCACTGACTGGGACCTGGTACTGGGATAGACTCAATTCACATGGATTCAACAAGTGCCCAAAAAGATTGCCTGGGACGGTCACTCTAGCTACACTCCCTGATCGCTCCAAGTCGTCCAAGTGGTTCATTTTTTGGGAGTGTACCACTCTGCATTTCCAGTCCAACCACAAGCACTTAGATGATCTTAGATGCAATCTCCAGCAAGGGCTTGTTATTGACCTTGATGGTCGACTGGAATTCAGATGGAATCCAGGGCGGATAGGTGATGAAATGCAGACCTCGCGTCCACAGAATCCACGTGCCATGCCGCCGGAAGGTGACGACCATGGGTGGGGGGCTCAGACCCCGCAGCATTGACGGATTAGATGGAACCAACGAAACCAGAACCCCCACCCGCAGACTTCCCCAAACCATTAGTCCAAAATATAGAAGGACCCACTACATGTCAGGGGCAGTCTCCAACTTACACCGGGTAAATTGTTGATATCTTCTATAATAATGTCCCGTACTATATGGATCGATTCTATTGTTTGTTTCTGCAAAAAATACTTGGGTGTTGAGATGAAGAAGAGCCACTGACTCCAGAGCCAAGTGACAGATCCGCTGCTCGACACGGATGTGCGACTTCGGCATTCGGATTGGCAATTGAGTCGCACGTCTTGGATTTGCAGCGTCCGATGCAACATGTTTGCACTCGTTTGCACTTGTTCATTGGGAGATCACATCTCACTCAGCATGGGTTGTGTGGTGCAAACGTCCGTTTTTGCCCAGCGTTCTGTTCCTGTTTTGCAGATTTGCAGGTGTATTCCAAGTGGGTCCTGTGCTTTCCCCATGTCCAAGTGCGTCTCAAATATGATGACTTCTCCAAGTGACTCAAAAATGCCTCTGTGTCAGTGTCAGTGTCAGATCAGTCCCTAAGTAAAATAGAAACGACGCTCAAGACAAGATTGAAAAAGATGACACAAGCACTTTTCGACGTAGGGGTCACAAAGTAACAAGGGCATCGCTACGAACGTATCAAGAAGCTACGAACGTAGCTCCTGGCATATATAATTCATGGTCACCCATTTGATCAAGGCCAGGATCAAGGTCATCTAAAGACCTGCTTGATGGTTACACCTGCCTTGATGGTCCCTTCATGGTTACACCTCTGTCATTGTAAAGACCTGCGTTGATCGCTGCCACCCATTTGATCGACTTCTTCGAAGCCTGCCGACGCCCTCACCGACGCCGAGAGAGGCGATGGTTCTGCCGTTTGGTTGTGGAATCCAAACGCAGATACCCTGGAAGTCAAAGACAATAAAAAGAATGTTCTGACTAGGTGACCCGAAAAGGAATATCCTTTACATCAGTCGGTGAAAATATAGTCTTTGGACTTCTAGGGTATACGTGAATAGCTGCCTTTCTCACCAAACACGTAGACATACCCCCCTAGGGCTCCAAACGATGGTTGGGGTGGACTTGTCTAACCACCTGAGGATATGGGACAGGAGCCCTGGCCAAGTTTGTGTGAATAGTACATGATTGGATTCTGGTTGTGTGTGCGTCTTCTTTTTTTCCCAGGCCATTCCTGGACAGCTCCGTCTAGTGGGACAGAAGCATCGTTCGGTGGCATGGTGAAGAGATGCCTTCGTGTGGAGAACTTCCGGAGTTCGCGGAAAGGGAAGGTCTCCTTTTTGTTTCACCGGGGAGGTGCAATCAAAGCACTTGGGTGTGTATTGTAATAGGGAGACCGACCTCTCAAAGGGTTGAGGTGGTATTGTCCTTCTTTCAGTGCTTTTGTTCTTGCTGGGTGCGTCTCAGTCTTGGATGTTTCTTCCGGCCTTTGCGGGCCTCCGAACAAGACCGGAGTCCGAAACACTTCTTTGTCACGAGCGGCGAGATGGATGAGCTGGGAGTCCAAGACCATTCAAGCATAATGGTCTTTAGGTGACGCGAAATAGAATTTCAGTGGTGCCAAGTAGAGTTTTTGGACTTCTAGGGAATGTAGTAGGCTGATTTGCTTCTCCAAGATGTTTTCCATGCTTTACAAGGGTCCTGACATGCCTTTGATTGGTTTCCGCAACAGCATGCCACAGTTTCTTAAGCAAGACTTCTTTTGGAGAATCGCGAGCAAGGGGGACAAGAACAACGATGAGGTTTGTTTCCGCATCAAAGAACCCCCCGACGTCCTTGACCACGAGGGTTATGTAGACTCTTGATTCATAAACCCCTTCCAATTGAATTGAGAATCCTCTTTATCTGGGGGGTGAATTATAATCAGGAGTCTACATTATTGCTGGTGCTGCTCCCATGTTGAGACTCAACCAATTCCGGATTGACGCGGACTCAACCAATTCCTGAGTTGCCTTGTGCGGCGATTCCAGCATCATGAACCTTGCGGCGACAGTGAACCTTTGCTGCAAACCGGCTTGAGTCTATGGATTTGAGATGCGCAGAGCCATGCAACTTTAAAGGTGGTGATCCTGTTTGACCATTCGGGCAAGGAGTAACAAATAGCATCCAAAGCAATTCATTGACCAGGTGTGTTGACGTGGCGGGGAGGGTGCGCAAAAGATTGGCCTATTACCCTCTGGAAAAAAATATGGAACCTGAGAATTGACCGGTGGAAGACAGTTTTCTTCTACAGCCCAGTGGTTTTGGGCTGCAAGTTAATCTACAGGGGAGTATAGCCTGTTTTGGAGTCTTCTCTAGCAGTTGCTGATATGACGATTAACAGTCTCAGTCTTGGACTAATGGCGTTTTTCTAATCTCTTTCTCTCTCTAATATAATATTTATATATATATGATATGTACTGCACTGGAATATATAGTCTTACCTTCACCTATTAGGCTCCGGGGGGCATGCACTCATTGGCATGAGTGTATGCACTTCAGAGAAGCACTGCAGGATTTAAAACCTTGAGAGAAGGCTGACCATTCTACCTCCAAACTCTTGCTCCAGAAGACATTGCAATTCGTTTCTGTGCAAGTTTGCCTACTTCCCTTCGAGTAGGGTTCATGCCATGGCATGTGTAAATAGTGCGAATAGCTTGCAGATGTTCTGTTTCTCGCACAGGCCTTCGTTTTTCTGGAAGAGCTGCCAAATCCACGCCACGTCTATCGAGCTGCCGACCTCCGCCCGATCGATCCAGCGGGCTCCGGGTTCGGCTCGGACCGGTCGACGTGTTCGGTACCACGACCCTCCTGGCCTGGAGTGGGTGGATGGTGACCATCCGGACCTGGAGTGGCTGGACCGAGACGCGGTTGACTGGGGTGGACCGAGGGTCTGGGGTGATCGGCATTCCAATTCCAGTCCCGTGGTGGGTCCGAGCATCAGCCCCAAATCAGTTCACTTGGCCAGTGATCGCATCAGTTTTTCATGAATTGCTCAGGACGGTTTCCGCAGCAACCACCACTTCTACGACCGCAATGAGCACCACCACCACGAGCGCTGACACGACCGCTACAACGACGGATGCGGACACGAGCACTGCAGCAACGACGGATGCGGACACCAGCACGAGCGCCACGACGAGTGTCGCAGGCACATCCACAGTGGCCTGGTTGTGCGATATAAATTGATTTCTCTTTCCCTATCTGTGATTCTAGCCACCTTGTTAGAGTACATGCCTATACCTGTGGGTGAATCCCCCCTACTGTTTGATGTCTTTCCCGGCTTCCATGGACCAAGGTGGGCATGACAAGCTCAACTGTGGGTCAGATGTCCGGCGCCGTGGTCGCAGTAGTCGGTCCAGACCGACCGTTTCGCGTAGGTTTCGTTGAAACGTCGACGGTCCGAGTGGCACCGAACCGGGCTCGGCAGCGACCGGCTAGACTAGAAGAGAGTCATCTTTTTCTGCAGACAAAAGCACCACGGCAAAACCCACGTCTTGGAAACTGGGATTTGCATAAAATATGGAACGGCCGTCGCAGGTCAGTTTTTTGTGGAAGCCTGTCAAAAGTGGTGTAGGGATAGTAGGTAGAGGGTTTTTTACACAACCTCATTTACGACCCACCAACCACCTTCTTACGTCACAACGCACAAACCTCGACACAGCACAACAACACCGGCCAGAAATCACCGACATTTGGTCTCAGACATTCCGACATGAAGCAAAAACAGAAATGTCATGAAAGGTCAAAAGGAAGCAAGCACTCCGACATATGATGACGTATGGCCGTGGGTCAAAAAACAAACACACACACACACACACACACACCCAGGTCAAATGAACTGATTCCGCTTAAAGTCAAGGGATGTCAACGGAACCCACGGTTTTGGTGGGTGAGTTTTTGACCCACACACATGTTGCTTAATGTTGTTTATGTCTCTTGAAACTTCCGTATCAGGCGCATACTGTTGTGCAGCCCGCCACCCGTTCTTTCCAGGTTCTTTTTTTTGGAACTGATTGTTTTCCACTGCGGTGATAACAAAAAGCTTCTTGTTTCTAATAGCAAACATTGTT